ATTACTCTGCATTTCTGTGATTTCTGCAGGATCTAGGTGGCAGAGGTATACAAGTCTAAGTTATGAAGTGGAAGCCATAATACCTAAATGCAGAACCAAGCACAAAAAGGGAAAATACACACAAATACTTACATATACATCATTTGCAGCAAAGCAAAACTAATTTACCAACATCCTGTGAGACGGTAGGGAAGAGACATTCTGAAGTTTCTAGCAAATAAAGAAAGATATTACTGGGAATTAATAATGGTATCCATTGTAACTAACTTAAAAGTATATAAAGGGGCATTTGTATTATCTCCCTTTAATGTGCTGGCTTTTTCTTTTAGCAGATATAAAAATATGTATAAGGGATTTCTTGGTTCACTTCTGACCTGCTTTCTCTAAATTTTTTCTCTCTCAGGTCTTTTGTGAAAATTACAGATTCTATAGACCTTTATTCTAAGAGTTTTATATGTGCATATTTATGTGGAAACCCAGAAGTGTAAGGAATTCATTTTTCCGAAAAAGGAATATAGGGGAGTGGGGAGTAATGCAAGGGGGAGTGATATTTGAATTGGTACTTGGGAATAAGAGGGATTTCACCAAGGAGGCAAGAGCAGAAAGGAATACTAGGCAGAGTTAATGGTCTCCTAGAAAATGCATAGCATGTTCAGGAATAGCAAGTAGCAGTTTAAGGTGGCAAGACATAGGCTGGCTGAGACTGAGAGAAAGGGATAAGCACAAAGCCAGAATTATCAGTCAGGGCTATTCTGTGAAAGGCTTCAGTGAACTTTGTTGGACAACCCAACTTAATTTTTGCCAGAAGTTAGATTTAAAACATCAGGAATGAGTGAGGCCTGCTAAAATTGGAGTTGTTATTTTCCTCTCAAAGATGGTAGTAATTGCTGAATTTTTGAGAGTTGGTAGAACAGCCCTGAAGGGTTCCATTATTCCCATGAAAATTAGTAGTTCTTGTGGTAAGGAAATGTTTTAGGAATTGTTGATAATAGGTATGTCAACAACTTCCAATTGCATAATGCCCCTAGAAAGATCCAAATCTTTTTCATGTGTTTTCTCTCATATTCCAAAAATAGCATTGGCAAATGTTCAGAGAAGGCAGAAGTTTACCAGAACATACTCTTTAAAACCCAGCTCACCCCTTTATGGAAGCAATCTTAGACAAATCTCTTGCATGTCATTCAGACTATAGTACTTGACTTTGGTGTCCATATGCATCAGGTTATGAATCGTATGTGTGTTTAGAAAAAAAGAAAACCTTTTTTGTTCTTTCTGTAACTTGCTCAAGTACTATAATTTGACCTGAGTCACAATTATGCTGCTCACTTTTCTTTTAGTCAAAACTCTTACTTCCACATCCTTATTATCATTTCCATAAGGGATTAAGAAACAGCAAACATAGGAACTGAAATTCTTCACTGTTTAAAAAAAAAACATAAATTCATGAATGACATTGAAGATAAAAAGTACTGCTATTTATGGGCCTTAAGTTCATCCTTCCTCCCCATAAAGTCAAATCCACACATCATTCCAGCAAGGACTTTAATAAAGTTAAATAATACAAGTGAGAAGGTCTTAAACCATGGAAAATGTCATTATTGTTTTAATCAAATCAGATATTAAAACTGAAGTCTGGTGAGAGTTAGATGACATAGTTCACTAAGGGAATAGAGGACCTTTTGCTAACTGGTTATTTAGAGTTTTCCCTAAATTAATGTTGATTATGTTTCAAATTCCAAACCTTGCTCATGCACCAAAATATAATATAATGCCTGTCCTTTGCCCTGACTACTAACTTACCAAGAGAGAGAAAGTTAGTAATGGTCAAATTTTCCCACAGCTTAGTTGGAGGGCTTAGTAGTAGAAAATAAATGAGGGGCTTGGGTTTCCCTCAGTTTGGCCAGCCTAGAGCCTATAGTAAAAGTTCAGAAACAATAATACCCTATGTTACCAAGGAACAGGATGGAGTCAGTTTGATTGTGTAACTCCAGGACACCCTGTGTTATGTGTCTTTCACTTTATTTGTTACTGCCAATAGCATCATGTTGTGTGGTTCTGGAATAGATTCTATATAGGGTACCTGAAGGTCCTTCCCATACCCTGCCAACCAAACAGCCAGTGCTATTTTTATATAGAGCCAGGCAACATATAATTTCCATGACTGTTACTTAGAATGAGTTGGCAAGTTCAAACCAGATTTTATGAACATGGCTGGCATTGTCAGTAAAGTCTGGAAGTTGAGCAAAGTTAATTTTTCTCAAATGGATGAAGGGTTTTTTTAAGCATTTGTATGATAGTTTTGTAAAATTTTTGAAAAAATATATTAGATCAATGTTTTAGGCTATGTATCAACCAAAAATCATTTTTATTCATGATCTCTCCTGAATTAAATTTCAAGATGTGAAGCTATTTCTGTTGTCTTCAAAGAACCAATTTGGGATGTATTCAGAGCTTCTTTTTATATGCTTAAGTAAAGCATGTAAAGCATGAGTATCAGGGCATCTGTTCTGTTGGTAAGCATAGATATTTTCATTCTGATTATTTATTTTCACTCCAGAGTATCAAGACAATGCAAGACTATAAAACTTACCAGTGATACTTCTCTCTATTCACTCCCTTGATCATCACAGACAGCCCAAGCTGTAAGGAACTTTACGGATCATTCCCTTTACTTCACAAATGAAGAAATTAATATCAAGGAAAGTCAAAAAGAAAAAAAAAAGCAATTAATACTTAGAGAAAACAGTGGACTTTCTCCTTCCCAAGTTTATATAGCAGGTTAATAAAAGAACTAGAATCAAAACCCAAATCTCCTGCAGTCTGTTACATTATTTCTTCTCTGCTGACAGAATAGTAAATGCATCTCCTTTTATTTTCCTGTTTCTACATTTGGAGCCCAGTTCTCCTTTGGTGAGTTACTGAAAGCAAGTGTAAAATACAGTTTATTCCCTAAACTAAGAGAGAGATCCCAGTCTATGTTTTCAAGATCTGGCCTGTTAACACAGAAATGTATTTTTATTACATTCAAAAGAGAGAACACAGTAATTGTAAAAACACTTTATTCCCCTAATTCAGTACCCTCCCACACAGCTTCCTGCACACATACATTCTTTCCTGGTAAAAAGATGGAAGCAAGTGGGTCACCTATTGAGATAATTGTCCAGATACTTAAAAACATACTTTAGATGATAGATTCAAAAGTGCATGTGTGCTTTTGAGAGATTTATGTCATATGACTTAGAAGAATTTCAATGTAAATTTCTTTGTAATTTCTTTCCTCTTGTGATAAACATTATCATTCCAAAGGGACAAAAAACATATTCTACTAGAATGTTTACTTCCATTATTTTATGTAAAAAATATCTTTGTCTTATATAATCTTATTAAGCATATGGAAATATGTCAGACTACTTTTTTATTGTAGATAAAATTATTTCTAAATATAAACATGTGTTCTTTTAATGACCGTCAAACTCATTCCAAGGATGCATTTCAGTTTGTAGCCATGTGCATATTATTTTTAGAGAGCTTTTAACTCTGAATCACTTTTCGTCTTAACCAATCATCAAATAAGAAATGTCTAATGCATTAAATGACAAATCAATTGTTCCTATTTTAGAGAATCAAAGAAAAGATAGTATGATTAAAAAGTGAAGACTTGGCTCACACTTGTAATCCCAGCACTTTGGGAAGCTGAAGCAGGACGATCACTTGAGTCCAGGAGTTTGAGACCACCCTGGGCAACACAGCAAGACCCTGCTTCTAAAAATAAAAAATAAAAAAATTATCCAGGCATAGTTTTGCATGCCTGCAGTCCCTGCTACTCAGGAGGTTGAGGTGGGAGGATCATGAGTCCAGGAGTTCAAGGATGCAGTGAGCTGTGATTGCACTACTGCCCTCCGGCCTGGGTGACAGAGTGAGACCCTGTCTCAAAGAAAAAAAATGAAGACTTAAAAATAATTATCTGCTGTTTTGTACTTTGGTATTGCCATGTTGGTTTTGGCAGATCACTTATTTGAAAGTCATTTTAAATAAAAGGGAATCCAAATACAGAATAACTCCATCAGAAATCAGGATATAGCTTCCTTGGTAGAGTTAGTGACTGAAAGTGGCTCCACAGGTGCTTCTGGATGCCAGTAATGCTCTACCTTCTTGGGTACTGGTTACACATGTGTACAGAGCTGACATATTTATGTGGACATTTTAGTATGTATTTTAATTCAAAGTAAAAAAATTAAGATGCCAAAATAAAGTCTGTGAAATTTGCCCTGTACAATATACAATGTGGGACTGATAGTATTGTGTACTCTTTATTATTGGATTCCAAATTTAAAAGAATAGGCCAGGCATGGTGGCTCACGCCTGTAATCCCAGTATTTTGGGAGGCTGAGGTGGGTGGATCACCCGAGGTTGGGAGTTTGAGACAAGCCTGACCAACATGGAGAAACCCATCTCTACTAAAAATACAAAATTAGCCAGGTGCAGTGGCGCATGCCTGTAATCCCAGCTACTCAGGAAGGCTGAGGCAGGAGAATCGCTTGAACCTGGGAGCAGAGGTTGTGGTAAACTGAGATTGTGCCACTGCACTCCAGCCTGGGCAACAAGATCAAAACTCCATCTCAAAAAAAGAAAAAAAATGATAGATTGCTCTAATTAAAAAAAAAAAAAAAAAAGTTTTTCTGTACTCTACCAGAAATTTAGATGTTAAATTACTCCAATTCAAGGTAGTATGTATGTAAATCAATTATATTTGTCATTAAGATAAAAGCAGGACCTTGCCTTACCTTCTGAGTTTCTGAAATGTCGGATCTTTTTTTTATCTGAAAGTATATTCTAAACATGATTTTATACACTGTCTTTTAATAAAATGAAGTATAACTCACTTCTAAGTAAAGCGTTCTTCAAATTTATTTGTGTGGTTGATAATAGATGGCTTGTTATTTTTTTCCTATGACTTGTATACAAGAAGAAATATTTACTTTGCAAATCATTCTTAACAGGTTGCCTCTGCCAGAACAGACATTCATGGGCTACTGGACAATTGGTCAGGCAAGAAGTGGGATGCAAAAACTCTTGTGTCCAGTGGAAACTCACCATATAGACATAAAGGTTAATATCATCATTATTTTCTCTTAAAATACTGAACCTTATAAATTTTGCTGTGTCTTCCCTGGAGGTAATCCAAACAATCTCAGAAATGATTTGTTCTGATGTTATTTTAGCTTCTGCTCTAACTTTCAAATCAGACTGGCCTCTCAGTAGACAATTCCTAAAGGGTAGATAGAATTTCTAAAAAGCTAATTGGATAATGAGAGTCAGGCATGTTATATATTTTCCTAGGAAAGTTACACTGTGATAATTATCTTTACTTTGTATGTGCTAATAGGATTAAAACTTTGTGCTTTTTTATTTTGGGCCTCTTTTTAGCCACATATTCTTGCCAGGCTCGGTCTTCATGTGAAAGGTAAAGGAAAGAAGTATCAGTCACTAGTTGCAATAGAAATCTTGCTAGGTATTTCAAGAAGAAAGGGATTTACTGTGAGAAAACAGATGCTTATAAAGTCATTAGAAAGGGCAGCAGAAACAGAAATTGAGGGGCAACATTGGACTTGTAATTTCAGGATCAGTATTTCTGCTTTTGCTATCATCCCTGCTGCTGAGGGCAGCACAGTAGAGCAGTGTCAGCAAACATTTTCTCTAAAGGACCACGTAGTCAATACCTCAGGCTTTGTGGCCAATAGATTCTGCTGCAACCACTCCACTCTGCCATATGGTGCAAAAGCAGCCATGGCAGTACATAAACAAATGGATGTGGCTGTGTTTCACTAAAACTTTATTTAGAAAAAAACAAGCTGTGGGTCAGCCCTGACCTGCAGACCATAGTTTGTCAACCCTCATAGTAGAACAAAGTTAAACACACCGAGACATGCTAATCTGACAGTTCATTTTTGTCAGAGCCTCCTTGTCTGCTATCACTGCAGGAAGATGGTCACTATCTCCTTTCTGCCTTCCATAACTCATTCAAGTGCATTTAATTGGCTAAGCCTAAATCATTTCCAGAACCCTTTCTAAAGGTGGGATGAGAAATGCAGTTTCTTACTTCCCTATCCCCCAAGATATGAACTAGATAGAAGAGGGGTGGTGGACGGGGGACATGGATGCCAATATCTAGTCCAAACATTTTTGATTAATTAAGGACTGCAGGGCGGGCAAATCACTGGAGATTTGCTTACTTCTATAGCATTCTTTCAGGAAGTCATATCTAAGTACCCAGAGCTAATATCCATAACATTAAGTTAGTTCATCTGCTTATTATTTATGTTGAGTAATTATCACCATATGTGAAATACTTTATCTTTCATAAGTAACACAAGTGTTTATCAGTAATTTTGATTTGTTTTATTTTTTAATTTCAAATGCCACGTTTCTGCATTTAATTTTAAAAACCCAGGTTTAACCATTACATTTCTGTGCAATGACATAAAAATTCTTCTCCACAATGGAAATATATCACACTCTGGCTCATTCAATTGCAAATTATTCCCCTGGTTTGGACAGCTCTGGGTTCTGATACTTGGAGTTCAAAACTGGCTCTCGCCTTAGGAAGGAATGAAGAAAGGAGAAATCCTATGGGATTTTACATCTGGTATATTTTGTGAGTAAAAAGAAAAATGAGAAATTAAATAAGACAGCACATGTTAAAGCATTTATAAATGTAAGTGTATGATATTGTTATTGTTATGAGTACTAAGCCTGTCAATAAATTGAGAAAAGGTATAATAAGATATTAAATACTTGAATGTAAAGTTTATATTTTGGAAGAACTTTATTCTACATTTTGGTGACAACCAAAATTTCTTAACTTAGATAACTGCTTTATTATAGGGGCCAGCAGTTATAAATATACAGGCGTATCCAATAGAAAGACATGAAGAAAGATCCCTAAACTTTACTGAAGAATGTGCCTCCTGGAGAATACCACTGGATGAAATTAATATAATCTGTGACATTGCTACATCATATGGTATGTCTGCTTAATCTTTTGATCTTTCTTTCCTGCATATGTTTTTTTTTAAAGAGGGATTAAAATAATCTCTAGACATCAAAAGTTTATGATAGACTTGGTGTCTGTCATTCTTGGATTGAATAGCAATTATATGTAATTTAGAACTAATTTCCTCTAACAACCTAACAAAATGCTATTGTGGAATCCACATAAGCACTGCTGAGTTTGTATGCATATGTCTGTTTCTCATTACAATTGTAGCACAAAGTTAAACACACCCAGGCACGTGCTAAAAATAGAAGGGAAAAAGAAAAAACATTGGGTTTTTTGGCTGGAATTCCAGTTTGGTGATTACATGAACCATGAAAGTAGGGCTAGAGTGATTTGCAGTCATTAAACTTCACATTGTAAAGAATGGCAAAAAAAAGGATGTGAATTTTTGGCACCCACAATTCTGGGCTGTTACCAATACCTACTGATTCATGCAGTGGGCCCTGGGTACATTTGGGTAGAAGTTCCTCAACTGCTGTTGGTTACTAAGGTGATATAAACTGAAGTGGCAGCTGGGGGAAGGGAGAGAATCTCTAACTTGACTAATATGAGAATTATTAAGACAAAAATTGATGTCTTGTTTTTGTGCCTGTAAGTTCTATTGATATAGTTTATTGCTCAAATCTATTTGAAATAAAAATATGTGCTTTTAAAAATGTACAGTTTTTTTGAAAAAGATTGGTAAAAGATACATATAAATCGTGTATCTATATGTTTAAGACAAAGACTGAACTGTATTTAATGGCTGCAAAAAGAGAAAACATTAAATGTGTTTCTTAAGTACATTTCTGTTAACACTTTTACCGTATTCCCAGTTCCCTAAGTTATGCAGGAAGGTGCTCAATAAATGTTGAATAGAACTTATTTGTGTTGATAATGGAAGTATTATAAAAGATCCATAAATTCTAAATTCTATGGTTCTGATAACTGAAACTGTAACATCTACAGTTCGCATTGCCCCCTAAATAATATTTGTCTTTTTCAGTCCTTCTGTTGACTTGTATTTCTTTTCAGTTAGCTTATTTATTTAAATTTACTATATCTTTATGTAGAATATGATATGTATAATATGATATCGTAATATATATAATATATTGATATGGCACATATGCACCCACACAGACACACACGTGTTCCAGATTTTTCAGGGTAGTCCCAAATTTAAATGATGTATTTTATTGTCATATCTTGTGTCTTCATTTGGGGTTCAGAAAAATATGACCACTATAAAACAGATACCTGGGTGATAGTTGATCCTGATAGCATTTATTATGCAAAAGTAGCTTAATCCCTTACCTCAATGGAACCCACATAAGAAATTATGAGAGACTTAGTCCACAGTCTAGCTACTCAAAGGGGGGACCTCAAACCAGCACCATTAGCCAAATCTCCTGGGAGTTTGTTGGAAAGACAGAATCTGAAACCTGACCTCAACCCTCCTGAAGCAGAGTCTGTAGTTTTATTAGATCTCCAGGTGATTCATAGCCACTTGAAATTTGAAGAAGCACTGACTTCTCCAAATGGAAGGAAATGGACTTAGGTACCCAGATTGAAAAGACAGAGATTTTACAATAAGAAATACTCAAATTTGAACAAAAGCTTGGAAAAATAAGATCCATAGAGCTAAGATTTTTTAAAAATTGAATTACTTATTTACAGCAATAAATTTTAAACAGCTAGTACTATCCAGAAAATGTAAGATTAGCAGATAGAAGACGTTAACCAACCAGTGACCAACAAGAGAACAAGAGATCAGACCTTCACTGTAGCATTAAGCACGTTGCTGTCACACAAGGAAGAATTTCCTGACATTGAGGATTGTTTAATATCGAATGGCTTTATCACAAGATATTGTGACATTCTTTGGGGAACAAATAGATAATCATTTTTTTCAGATTCATAGGTGTGACCGTCTATCTACATTTAGGGTCGAAACTAAGCTGCTTCTGATGGTCTTTTCAGCCTAATCAAGCCATGATACCAATCATCTGCTGAGTTCCAACTCTATGTTCCAAATGTGTTTTCATGATTCAGTTTTCACTAGACCTCTTGACCAATTAGAAAACTGTTTGCAAACCACAAAATTAACACCTTTTTGTCATTTCAGAAAATGAGGAAAATACTCTTTGTGTAGTTACATGCAATCCCATTTCCCTGTATTTTATGAATATGGCTGGAAAAAGTGGCTACTTTGTGGATCTTTTTGATATCTTCCCAAGAACAGCCAGTGGCGTTTGGCACCCTTTTGTGACAGTGGCACCGCTGGGAAGTCCCCTCAAAGGTCAAGTGATTCTCCATGAGCAGCAGGTAATGCACACCAGACTACAATTTTGTGAAGAATAACTTACATGGAAGACAACAGTGATTAGAAATCTGTAACTGAAAAGATGTGCTTTCATGACAATCAAGGAGAGGAGCTGGAGGGATCAGTCAGGAGTTGCATTTTATCAGTACCACAAAGGCAGGCTAATATCTTCCTTTCTGCAGAGACTTCAACATGACCTATAAATCTAGAAACAGGTAAGCCAGGGGTTTTCAACCTCGACACTTTTGACACCTGAGGTCAGATGATTCTTTGTTGCCAAGCTTACACTCTCTTTGGGGAGATAGACAAGTAAACCAACAAATGAACATGCCAGTTTCAGGTAATGATAATTGTTGTGTATGGAAACAAGGTACTGTCCAAGGGAGTGATGGGGATGGGGTAAGAGGAATTGAGAAGGTGAATGGTATTAAAAAGAGTGCTGATATTTCTCCTTTTAGGAGATGACATTTTATCTGAGACCTGAATGATATATTTTGGTAGAGACAGCCATGTAAATACACCAAATGGAATGCAATGAGATCCATCAGTATCTAATGATGCTCAAGTTATATCTATCATTACTATGGATTAGTATACTAAGATTGTACTAATGACAAGCACAGGTGCCCAGAGTCAGGCTAAAAATAATTCCAAACAAAACATATAGATCAGAAGACGGATTGTGTTTTAATTAGTGAGACTTCTAAAGGTCTAAGTTAATCGAAACAATACCAATAGAAAGGAGCCTAATGTTTCTGTATACCTATTATCTATCTAGTATATACCAAGTACTACACTAAGCATATTCATTCAACAAATATATATCATGTGCCACCTACTGGGGATACTGCAGTGACCAAAAATACCCAAAAACTCTTGTCCTCAAAAACTTGCATTCTGATGCAGGAAGATAGATAATCATCAAAATAAATAATTATACCTTAAATTAGCAGGTGAGAAGCAAGAGGGAATAAGACTGCAATTTAAAATAAAGTAGTCATGGATTGCCTAATTGAAAGGGGGATATTTAACCAAAGACTTGAGAGATGAAGAAGAGAAGAGGTATCTGGAATAAGAGAGTTCTAGGCAAATGGAATAGTGGATTTAAAGACCCAAAGGCTAGAAACATGTCCCTTCATCTTTAAAGAAGAGTAGTGGGGAAGATTGAATAAGAGGGAAGTAGGAGGAGAGATAAAGAGGCTACACTGTGGGTTGGACTAGGGGCAAAGTGAAGGGGATAGTGGGAAGCAGGTTGTGTAGAGCAGGAGTCCCCAACCCCCAGGCCACAGACCAGTATTGGTTCCTGGCCTGTTAGGACCTGGGCCGCACAGCAGAAGGTAAGTGTTGGGCAAGTGAACATTGCCGCCTGAGCTCCACCTCCTTTCACATCAGCCACAGCATTACATTTTCTTAGGAGCATGACCCCTATTGTGAACTGCACATGCGAGATCTAGGTTGTGGGCTCCTTGTGAGAATCTAACTAATACCTGATGATTTTAGGTAGAACAATTTCATCCTGAAACCATCCCACAGCTTCCACCCAACCTCCCCAGTCAGTGGGAGTACTGTATTCCACAAAACTGGTCCCTGGTGCCCAAAAGGTTGGAGACCACTGGTACTGTATAGAGTCTTGTAGGCCATTGAAGTTTCTGGGTCGTGACTATGAGTAAAAGGGGAAGACATTAGAAAGTTTTGAGCAGGGAGCTAGCATGATTAAAGGATTTCTCTGGGTGCTCTGTGTGAATAGTCTGTATTTGCTAAGGTAAAATGAGGGAGACTAGTTAAGAGAATGGTGGTTTGGAGGAGGATGGGCTCACAAGCAATGGCAGAGTTTAGCTGTATTTTGAAGGTAGAACCAACAGAATTTCCTAACAATTCCAACGTATGGGGTGAGAGAGAGTAAAGGACAACTGTAAGGTTTAGGGACTGAGCAACTTGAAGTTGCCATTGACTAAGATGGAGACAGAATCAGTTTGGGAGGGAAGCTCAGATGAAATTAGATTCAATTTGAGATGTCTATTAAATATCCAAGTAGATGATAAGAACGGAGTTCAGTGGAGAGCTCCTAACAGGAAATATAAGTTTGGAATTCATTGACAAATAAATGTTCTTTAAAGCCATGAGACTGAAAGAAGTCACCAAGGGAGTGAACATAAGTGGAGAACAGAAGTCCAAACACTAAGCCTTGGGGCAGTAAAATATTAAGAAATCAGGGAGATGAGGAAGAATCAATGACAGAGTTTGAAAATGAGTGACCAGTAGAGTAGATGGATAAACTGAAGAATGTGTTATCCAGAAGGCAGGTGATGAATGTCTCAAGGATAAGGATCAATTGTTAAATGTTGACAACATAATATGTAAGAGATTGCTTACATTATCTCATGTTATTCTTCCAACTTTCTGGTGAGGTAGCTCTAAGCCATATTTACACATGAAAGGACTGAGGCTCAGAGTTCAAATAACATGTCTGACAAGTACATAGTAAGACCTGAGATTCATAGCATATTGGATTGACCCTACCAGAATTAAACTTCACCTACTCTCTCACTCACTACAGATTTTGGGGAAAAGATTAGTTAGAAAGCTTTATTAAAAAGTACTCATAATAGGAAAATATTTTTAAATATAGTGTTGTTACTTATGAATATTTAAAGAGCAAAGTGATACTAAGAAATAATACTTTTACTAATCAAGAGGAAAGTATTGCATAATGTGTCAGTAGTTCATTGAGGAAATTACAACTTTAACTTTAGGTCTTGCCTCCAGAAATTATCATAAATTTTGAGTTATAAGCTTTTTTCTAATATTGTTTTTACTTTTTTTAGTTTTACTTTCTCCTAGGAGCAGAGTTGATAAATATCCAGATATTGTTCACAAAAGTTTATCTCCTGAAAATTGGAATGAGGGTTTTATTTTACAGATTTTCAACAAAGTATCGATGCCATTGAATTTAATTCTATAGCCGCAACAATCTTTCCTAAAAAGTAAATGGTATCTTGGTGATTTTGTAATTTAGGAAAACAATCAAATTTGGATGAGACTAAATTTGGAGTATTTAAACAGTCCTGCCACATTTTTAGCTGTCAAATTAACCAATTCTTTAATACATGTACCAGATTTTTAGCTTCTCGGCAATTTTATTTTCTCAAAAGATCCAGTTATTCGGTAATATTGCTGATTAATGCTCTATTCAATTTCAATTACTTTCATGAAAGAAAATCTGATTTTTATTGTTAAGCTGTGCTTGACTTCTACAGCCAGCACCTTGCCTCCTCCTGTGCTGCCTTACTTATCCCTTTGGCCACAGTTTCAAGTTTTCCAGAAAACTGCTTCAAAACCCTGAGCAGACCTACACAGCTTATCTGGATACTTCCTCTCTACCTGTCCTCTAAACTGCCTTCTCTTTTCCCAGAGAGTACCCTCTTAACTGTCTATTTTATCGTATACCCTTGTCAGGATGTCAGACCTGTAATATTCCATGTGAACAGCACACAGCTGTGAAATTTAACAACTGATAAATAATTCTAGTGGAATGAAAAATAAATGGACTGCCATCAATTCCTTTTTCTTCATTCTACCCTAACTAAAAATATAGCCAAAATATTGTAGAGAAGTACTTCCATGAATTCAGCTATTCCTTGTCTTTTTAACATAAAGCTTTGCTACAGATGCATGTCCCTGGTTAGTTTTAAAAGTTGTTCAAAGATTCCTTGCTAAAATAAAATCTTAAGTGAGGAAAGGGAAACTTTGCCATGCCTAAAAATAAAGACCGTCCCCTCCCCCTACTCCCCTTGAGATTATGTATTACATCTGTACAAAGTTTAGAATTTCAGATTTAGGGACATGGAGGTCATCCAGAGGTTACTTTTCTCCCAGTCAAACACAAGCATAATAAAATTGCTCACTTGCATCTCCTCCCTGCCCCCCTTAAAGGAGTGCCAAAGCCACAGTTACATGTACTCATGTGTGACGCAAAATTCTATTTTTAAACCCAGACAGAATCTATCATTAGTCATTTACAGAAGGAAACCATTAACATCTAAAAGGATGGAGAAACAGAACTCCTTCATGTTGCTTATAAACTAATTCTAAGTACAGCAAAGGCTGGGAATAGTTTTCTGTCACTTACAAAGATACAGTTTTTCAGTTCACTTATGCCATGTTATGAACATATAAGTATTAGACCCTAAAAAGGTAGAAAAATGGAAGACTATACTAACTTATTTTTCTGCTTGATCACATTTGTTTAATCAACTGCTTATTTTTCTGCTTACTCATTTTTAGGCATGAAACATTTTTAGGACTTCCTTTTGCTTACGAAGGCTAATATCCCAAAATTGCTCAAGCGCTAAGAATTCATTTTAATATTTTACATATTTATTATATAAGAAAGATTTTTCCCATCAAAAAATATTTAATCTATTATAGAGATTGTAAATTTTTAACTTAATTTTATTTTTTCTTAAGGAAAACTCTAAGGTATTATTACCATTTTCAAAACTGTCAAGTATTGGTGAATGATACTTGTTATATGTTAATTTTTAAAAGAATATTTCTAATGCACATTCTTAGTGGAGAATTATATCTCATACAGAATGATGCATTCTAAGGGTGATATTTATGAAAAAAAATTAAAACTTTGTCAACATGCTTAGCAAAATTTTTTAATACAGCTAAAATTCAGAGTATACAGTATGAAGTGAGTTATATGGTGCAAATACTATTTTAATTCTTAAGCACTTCCACAAAATTAGCTCGTAAAGTAAAATTAAAACCATACTGAAATGCTAGATTTGCAGATGAATCATTAAATTTTTTACATTTCTGTTTATTTCTCTAGCTAAATTACATGACAGAAGGCAAGGGTCATGATTAATTCATTGTTATATTCTTTATATATTGAATATAAGCTGCTCAATAAATATTGTAGAATAAATTAACAAACATTTAACATTTTATTGTTTTCAAGGTTTATATTAATTCTTTGTGTGCTTTGTGACTTTAGTTTCTCCAAAAGAAATTCTTGAAATGAAAAATTCACAAGAGTTAGGATAACTGGAGGAGCCCCAAATTTAAAATAAAACAAAACAAAGAAAGAAAAGACACATGCTTAACAATGAGGTCTGACAAATAACTTGCTGATGCCTTTGCAAACCCGTTAGTCTAATCTTCAAACTTCTTTATATTTTAATTAAAAAAACCAACTTCTTTGTATCTCTTTAAAATATTTAATTTTTCTGGCTTTCTCAAAGTTAAGTTTTTATTTTTTGTGTTTCAGTTCATGTATTTCAACATATAAAGTTTATTTATTTTCTTTAAAAACATATCCTAATTACTGAGAGATTATATCATTGCATAGCTATGATCGATAATGCTGCAGAAATCTGTTGTTTGTACATTATTATAGCACCAATTGTGAAGGTTCTTCAAGCTTAGTGAATTTCTAAATGAAAGAATGCTCATTACTAGCTAGTTTGTTGGAGTCTTTCATGTTTCTTGCCAACTCATGTTTATATCTATCTTATACTTATTTTCTAAATTGAACCAAATGAGATAAATGATTTTTTTTAGATAAGTGAGATTTAATTATGCACAATATAAGAGAGCTTTCAACAGAGCATTTTTAAGTATGATTTTGGTACAAGTAGATGACCTTCTTAAAATCATCAATCCTTGTAATTTCCTTATTACTAGACAATAAAACAGAATCATGGTTCAACTAGCTTATATTTAAAAGAGAATGGTTTTTACATAAAATATTTAAAGAGAATACCTTTTGCATCACATATTTAGAAATGTCTTCCTAAAACCACCAAAAATTGTAAACTCTTCATTAAGAAAAATCATTTAATGTCTTTGTGATATCTCTTAAGCATTAAAATATTGTCTTTGCTTTGATTTGTCACTATAACCTTCACTGTCAGATTGCCAAGGGATGCTCCTTTAAAAAAAAGAAGAACAAATCTTGAGCTTTTCACTGTTTTCGTCATTTGCAGAGTAATGCCATCTTGTTGTTAGATACCACTGGCCAAGCCCTTCGTCGTCTCATTCTCCCTTCGGAAGAGTTTACATCTAAGAAACCTTCCTGGTGGAACAAAGAAGAAGCTGTAAGAAACACCATATTTGTCCAGCAAATTGCCAAGGATTTCTATTGCTTTCTAACCAGAAAGATGCATGCATGCCCATCCCTTTAAGTGCTTTTTGTTTGTTGTAATGTGCAAGAGAATTTCTTGTTGTGCACATGCAGATTTTAACATGGTATATATAACTATAGATGTGTGTATAATTAAATATCATTGACTTCTTTTTATGACATAATACTTGCATGAAGATTTGCCAGGACTGGACTAACAATAAGAGAAAATGAGAAACTATTTGTATATGGTAATTTTTAACAAATTTCTAATCATGGAGTCAGTTTAACCTGTTTTCCAGTTATATAGTTATGTTTTAGATTTATATTATAAAACCATGAGTATAACACTTAATTTCCTCTATTAGAAAAATAAGTGTTTTAGTTTATTAACTAAATTAAATGAGTAAGCAAACAGTTTAGGCCAACACAAGAGTATTTAGTCTGCCATTCAGAAAAAATAATGGATATAAAATAAAGTTTACCCTCTGCCCTGCAAGTCAACGTACTTAGGTCTTAAAGGACCATGAAAAAAGTGATTTTTTTAAATTTCATAAATGTATCCTAATCTAAGAAACAAAGGATTTTCCTATGTGTTTATTTTATGGTATAAATTTCATGTTAATCATCAGATAGCCTGTTATTTCTTAACAATGTTTGATGTTGTTTTTAAAAATTTATTCGGAAGAGGTTTTAGTATAGTTCAGTAAATTTTGATATATAGTTTAATCTATTTTACCGTAAGAGTCTTGGGGTAGATAAATAGATAGCATCTTTGAGAATTACATGTTTTACAAGTTGAAGAACTTTATTTTATTTAAGGGGAAGTAGTTAAAGAGAGACATGACTGTATCTGACACATTTAATGTTAATATCTTGTTTTGTTTTGTCTTTAGGAAACTTATAAAATGTGTAAAGAATTTTCAAACAAAAACTGGCTAGTATTCTACAAAGAAAAAGGGTGAGCTCTTTATTATAGAAGGTTGAAACTGGAGTTCTTATTTGGTCCATTCTATTTCCTGTTTTGATTATACTTGTTTACTATAAAATGAATATAATGAAATTATGAATGTTTTAATATAAAAGTAACTTTGTCCACATTGCAGAAAATTGAGAAACAGACATAAGAAAAGCTAGTGCTCACAATTCCGTGACATAGCCACTACTAACGTGGCAATGGTTACTACTTTCCATTATTTTTACTCATTCACAGGCTGAAATAGTTTAGAATTTTGTATATCCATTTTTTTCAATTAACATTTTTCTATATTATTATTTAGTCTTAAAAACATTCTTTTTAAGGATTGCATAATATATCACGAAATGATTATGCCAGATCACTCAACCATTATCCTCACCATTTCCTTTCAGATACAGTTTTCTTCTCCTTTTCTAGGAACAGCCTGATCGTGCTGGATGTTCTAGAAGGGCAAACTCACACCATCTCACTTCCCATTAACCTCAAGACAGTTTTCCTCGTGGCAGAGGACAAATGGCTTCTGGTGGAGAGCAAAACAAATCAGTGAGTGGCTTTATATAGTGTATCATGGAGTATGCTGTAGCTCAATGTTATTTACCAATTATCCAATATCTTTACTGTTCTGTCTTTCTTGTGTCTGTCTTTTACTGCTTTCTGTGTTTGGCAGCATCTCTATATATGAGACTTATTAGAAAAGAGATGTCTACAGCCATACCACCCTGAACGCGCCCGATCTCGTCTGATCTCGGAAGCTAAGCAGGGTCGGGCCTGGTTAGTACTTGGATGACAGAAGAGAGGAGGGGAGAAAAAATAAATGTCATTTTTCAGAAAATGACATTGAAATTAGCAGTAAAAAATCATGACTTTGCATATGATCCGTATTTATTTGGGCTTTTTCCTAGTTGTACATCGAGAATTCACTGTATTCTTGCCAAACTGCAGGTACTTCAAAGTAGATTTTCCATCGACTTTGAAGTAGTCTCCATGCTAGAGCTGTTGCCTTTTTATAAATTCACAGAGTTCACACCTTAGAAGTTTCTCTTTTTATCTTGTGTATTCTGGTTTGGTTGTGATTATGTTTGTGTTGTCTGACCCATTGGACTGTTGCACTTCTTGATTAAAGGCAGTGTATGACAGTCAACTTTGAGTACCTTCCCTCATGCACGACTCTACTAGCTAAGTGTAGACTCTTTCTGCCCCTCTGCTGACAAGGAGAAGTAGCTCATTGCAGAGGATTTCTACCTATGTATGCATTCATATTTTAGAAATGTTGAAAATAAGTAGATCAAGGAGACTACAGTGGTGAGAAGGGCATCTGTCTCTTAGCTGATCACAGATCCGAAATCATACTTCTCCTTCCCGGCTGATCAAAGAGTTTTATCAAGAGAGGACTCCATGATAATAAGAGTGTGCCCCATTAGAGTTGCTTTTTTTTTCCCTGACAACCCTTTCTCTTATAGGAAGTGTTGGATTTTTGCTTCACATTCATTACTGTGTTGCTGTTGTGCACTGCTCTTTAACACGGTGTTGATAACTTATTTGTTAATTCATGATGAAACTCAAAAACTGCAAATTATACTGGAACTATAAAAAAAGAGGCTTAGGAGAATCTAATTTTTCTTAGTCTGACCTTATGACTATTAGAAAAAGAAAAATTTCACTTAAGCTGGATGTTTTGTTTGTTTGCAGGAAATACCTTTTGACTAAGCCTGCACACGTCGCATCTGAGGGCAGTGGGGTTTGCCAGTTGTATGTGCTGAAAGAGGAGCCGCCCAGCACAGGGTTTGGAGTTATACAAGGTAAGTTCTATGTCATCTGTGTTTATGGGTGTGAGAGTGCATGCTTGTACACATACTGTCCTCTAGAATCATTTAAGAACAAAACACCAGCCTATGTTAAGTTTACACCAAAAGAAAAAATTTAGTCACTAGGCCAGAAATAGTAAATAAGAATCTGCTCTTTCAAATTGTCATAAGGAAGTTCACTCTTGTAAGCTCTGTCTTTGAATTTTTTTAACTGACAGATCAGTATTTTTACTTACATTTAAGTTGCAAGTCTAATTTAGGATAACATCTTTTTTCCACAGACCATTGGGATTTCTACTTAATTTATCACAGTTTTGAGGGATGAATAGTACTTATGATAAAAATCTAAAACATACCATTGCCAACACTGGGTTGGGTCAGTTTCACATCTCTTTTCTGCAGGGAGCTATTAATAATAATTTATTCCTAATAAAATTTTGAATTTTATAAATATTTGAAATCACTTTGGGAGGATGCCTTTATTATAAAAATGGCATTTTCTCAAACAAAAGCCCGTGAATATAATTTAAAGTGTTTCCCCCTTTTTAACTTGTTCTTTTCCATTTGACTTGTTAAAAATAAAATCTTGCAAAAAATTAATTCCTGGAACATTTCAGGGGCATATGGTGTCTAATGTTTGTCTGATACTTTTCAGAAACAGAGTTCAGCATACCTCATAAAATTTCCAGTGATCAGCTATCATCTGAACATCTAAGTTCAGCTGTGGAACAAAAGATTGCCTCTCCCAACCGAATTCTCTCAGATGAGAACAATTATGCTACAATAGTTGTTGGTTTCCCAGATCTCATGGTAAGCATCAATTTTAAAAATTATTAGATAAATATTTCTTCCCCTCAATTTGACCTATAATCTGTAAGCCCGTTTGAGGGGTAATTAAAAACATAATAATTTTCTGGTAAACATTTTGGATCAAGTCTGCATTCCAAATCAGTTACTAGAAAATATGTTATACCTAAATAGTTTCATTACACTTTAAAAATTAAAATTGAAAGTGTAATGCAATGGTAGAATTTAGTAGGAAAAACAAGTATTGTCCATATGTGGGAGTTCATATAATACAGTTTAAATGCTTAACCTTCTGATGATGATTTTTTTAGCATGTCTTCTAGAATTTTTTAAAGTTATTTTTCAATCTACACATTCTATATATTTATTAACTTTTAGGTTCAAGTGTACGTGTGCAGGTTTGTTATATAGGTAAATTGCATGTCACAGGGGTTTGGTGTACAGATGGTTTGGTCATCCAGGTAACAGACATAGTACCTGATAGGTAGTTTTTCAATCCTCACCCTCCTCCAACTCTTCACCCTCAAGTAGGTGTCAGTGTCTGTTGTTCCCTTCTTTGTGTCCATATGTCCTCGATGTTTCACTCTCACTTGTAAGAGAGAACATATGATATTTGGTGCTTTGTTCCTGTGTGAAGTTAAATTTGTTGGGTTGTCATTATTGTAGATTAAATTTTTCAGTAGTCATGAAGATAGTTTCATTTTCCATTGAGTTTTGCCCTGATTTATCATATCTTTGCAGCATCCAGGTTATACTATAATGGCTAATTGTCTCAATTGATTTTTCTCTTAGATGGACCCTTCTGTTATCCACTGTTATCTATAAAGGAGAAGCTATTTGAATTGACTTTAGGTGAAACTGGGCAACATCTTCCTCTGATGGAAATGTGGGAAAATTAATTATAAAAGTTATTTCAGTCCAGGTTGCCATCTAATAACCTTAGATGTAATCCATGTGTTTTGATTACACATTTAATTTTTATAATTTCCTTTGTAGCTTTTAGATGGGATGATAGGATTATTTAAAAATTAAAAATACAGACTCTGCTTGATGATACTCCAATTTTATATGCCTGAAAATTTTAACATGATTAATGAATGCTGGATACTTCAAGATATAAGAGATTTGAAATCTAAAACCCAGTGGATAATATGTGGCTTAGGACTCTGACATATGTTTTCCTAATTATCAAGTAAAAAGCATCTACTTTCATATAACTCAAAATGAAATGTTATTGAAATACAATGTTTACAGCAGCCTTGATATGAAAGAGATGCATTTTATATGGTTTCTACCATGTTTGCTGCTATCAAAGAAAAAATATTGGGACTTTTTCTGGAGGTGAAACTATTTTAAAAATTGATCTTCTAATTACCTTCTTCTGATTAAAGAAATCAACATAGAAGCATAATATTACTATAAAAAGTTATAAAATAAAAGCTGAGTTAAGGCATTATTTGTATTAACCTTATAGAAATTCTTTGTAGCCTATAAGACTACTGACATTATTAAATTAAAAAGCTGCATCCCTGCTACTTAGTGTGGTACCCACCACATAGGAGGTATTTAATGAGTGTTTATTAAATAGAAGATTAGAATCAGCTAGGCACCCTTTAAGATGGCAATAATATTTTTAGGCCCCAACACAAGAGTCAGGCAGTGTACTATTCTAAGCTCTGTCATACATGATAGTTAATTTTTACAAAAATTCTATGAGGTTTTACAGATAAAAAAAAAAAAAAAAAACAGAAAGAGTTTATATCCCCTAGGCCACAAAGATTATAAGCCATGGGATTTGAGCTCAAGTGTGACCAGCCAGCCCCCTAACCCACATCCTTTCTACCACACCACACTGCCTCCTTGCTTTATGTGAACTTGTTTGGATTCTATATAAAACTATTGGCAAATGAGTATGCTACCTCTTGTTAACCTTTTCATACAGTTATCAGTGGCATCTAAATTATTACTTATATAACTTTTAAAATCTAATACCAAATAGGTGTAAAAATCTATAGCCAATATCATCCTCAGTAGAGAAACATTAAAAGCATTTTTTTTCTTTTTAGGACTGAAACAAGGATACCCACTGTTACTACTTCTATTAAACATGGTAATCGTGTCTTAGACATGATATATAAAGAGAAAATTGATAAATTGTGCTGCAACAAATTTTAAAATTTGAGCTCTGTTAAGAGAATGAAAAGACAATCTACAGACTGGGAGAAAATATTTGCAAACCACATTTCCAACAAAAACTGGTATCTAGAGTCTATAAAGATTCTTAAAACTTAGTAGTCAGAAGGTAAATAGCCTAATTTTACAAATGAGCAAGCAGTAGGCCAGTGTGAGGTATCAAAGATCAGAGCCCAAGCAAGATAAACCCATCTGTGGTGGGGAGATGTAATCACTAGTGATGGACATTAAGTCCAAGCAGGATGAAGATGGCATTCCTATGAAGGGGCAGCCTGGAGTGGGTTGTAGGAGCCCACGTACGGGGAGATATGTGTCCCTGTGTGAGTGTGGCCCCATATGGGCTGTCAGGACCCAAACAGGGAGAGTGGAGCATCTGCCCAGAGAGTAAGGTTAGTGGTGGAGACGGGAGATGGGTCACATACAGTGGGCTTGAGTAAGAAAGTAAATATATGAAGGGTAACAAAATACATTAAGGATAATGAAAACAAGTTTTTAACTGTTGGAGAGGGGAATTACAGATACTAAAAGGAAGAAAAATAGAATGAACCATGTAGTTATTAGGTTAGAATTGGATATATTTTTGTGAACTCCTGGTTTTCAATGTATTTAGGTAGATACAGAAGTAAAAGTGAAGGTAAATGTGAAAAAAAAAAGTGAGCAAAAGACTTCAACAAACACTTAACCAAAGAGGATACAGGGATGGCAAATAAGTACATGAAAAGTTATTAGACATCGGTAGTCATTAGAGAAAAGCAAATTAAAACCACTGACAATACCAAGTACTGGCAAGGATGCAGAGAATTAATACAACTCATACATTTTTTTTATGGAAATGCAAGGGCAAACAATAACCAGAACATCTCTGAAGAAGAACCAGACAGAAGTACTCTTCCTATTAAATTTCAAGGTTAATTATAAAACTTCAGTAACTAAGACCTGTATTGGGCTGGGAATAGAAAAATACACAGCAGAATAAAATACAGTGCCCAGAAACAGATACAGGCATATAAACTGTTTTATGATACTGTTGCTATGGACAAAAGTTAGTGGTATTTGGACAGTAAGCTATACATGTGAGAAAAGGATGAACGTGGATCCTCACTTCATACCATTCACAAAAATTAATTCCTGATAGGCTAAGAACTGAAATGTGAAAGATAAAGCCTTAAAACTTTTAGAAAAAGCATAAGAAAATACCTTTATGATCTTAGGAAGGATAAATACATATAAGGTAAAAATTTAAAATAAAGCAAGGGAAAAATAACATAAAATTCCAGAATAGTTAAATCTAGGGGAGACAGAGTGAGAATGATTAGGAAGGGAGCCAATCACTTTTGAAGCCCTCCCAGATCTTCAAAAATGCTAGTTATATTCTATTCCTTATGCATAGGTGTTTGTTTTATTTTTAACTAATTGCTATGTTTCTGTTTAGTTGTAATTGATTTCAAGATAAAAATGTAACATATATTTCATATTTGTCTGAAAATTATGATTATTGGCAAAGCAGCTACCTCCTTCCTGTACCACATCCAAAAGGCTTGTGTTTTTATGTTTGTTTATTTGTTTTTTAAGACAAGGTCTCGCTTTGTTGCCCAGGCTGGCTGGAATACAGTGGTGTCATCATGGCAGCCAGGCAGCCTTGACCTCCCAGGTTTAAATGATTCTCCAGCTTCAGCCTCCTGAGTAGCTGGGAATACAGGCACACGCTACAACGTCTGGCTGAATTTTGTATTTTTTGTAAAGACAGGGTTTCACCGCTTTGCCCACGCTGGTCTCAAACTCCTGAACTCAAGCGATCTACCAACCTTGGCCTCCCAAAGTGCTGGGATTACAGGCATGAGCCACTGCACCCAGCCAATAATTGGATTTTCTTACACCTGTGAAACATTAGTTTCCCGCTAGTATCTGCTTAAAGGGCTGCATTGTTAAGGTTGTGGTAAATGTAGTATATGGTACTTTCGTACTTTGAATCTCTTTCTTTTTTTTTTTTTTTCAGTCACCCAGTGAAGTTTATTCTTGGAAGAGACCATCTTCTTTGCATAAACAAAGTGGCATTGATACAGCATTCTATGGAGGAAAGAAGAAAAGTGGGACTCCAAAACAAAGAAATTGTGTGACTCTTTTAGATACGAATCAGGTAGTGAGGATTTTACCCCCAGGAGAAGTCCCTCTAAAAGATATCTACCCAAAAGGTAAGAAGGAAACACCAATTCCTAATTTACAAAGGTGGTTTAAAGTAGCTTGCTTTTGCTAGAGGATGATAAGTTATCATTATCATTTCATACTTACAAAAATGGATCATTCTGACAAGTTTAGAAGTAACTAAAAAGACCTCTGTGTATTCAGAAAGTTCTTACTCATTTTCACAGTGTGTGGTTGTAGCCACTGCTGTTAGAACTCATCTTCATTTATATTACAATATGTGCAATAGCTTTACCTAGAACATGTTTTCACAGAGCCTTTTAAAAAGTCTTAGTGTATTAGGCATAGAAACTGAGGCCTGCCTTTTGTCTTGAACTCCTGAGACTGCAAGTCAGGGACTTATCATGCAGACTGATTCACTTAACAGCACTCTGAAAGTCAACTTATATTTATTACTACATAAAATATCCAATTCCTGGGCTAATCCTCTCTCCTTGTATAAATTCACTTGCTCTTTAAAACCCCATCCTATTGTTAGCATGCTCTCTAATTTGTGTATGAAGATATTCTAACATAGAACTAAAACAACTGGCCCAGGATCACCCCACCAGCGGACAACAGTGCCCAAATTTGCACTACAATCTTCTAATCCCAAGTTTAGAGCTATTCTTATTGAACCACACTGGTGTTCATCGTAACAGATAACTATGAAAAAGTTGGATCTTTGATTCATTGACTTTCTTTTTTTGCATCACAGTGGTAGTAATATCTTGTGTCTACATTCATTGTATTAGTGTGGACTTCACAAATATAGCACTAAATGTATTATAATCTGTAAAAGGTTTGAAAGTTTCTGATTATATGATAATATTTAGAATTAATTTCTTCCAAACTGAAACGCATGGAAAATAAATCACCATTTCCTTAAAATGTTTTTTGTGGTAGAAGAGGCAGATAAATAAGCTGACAATTGTAGTACAGTATAATAAGATAGGAATATACACAAGGTGATATATAAACACAGAGGAGAAGTTTACAATCCATACTGGAGACTATGAGTTGACTCTTGAAAGATGAGAGTTAATCAATTGGAGGATTTGGTCCAGGAAAGGGGCCGTCCATGTGAAAGATGCAAGGACTTGGCAGATCATTCCAGGAATTACAAGAAGTTATATACCCGAGTTTAATGCACTTCCATTCACCCAGATATCTAGGGCTCACCTTGATACCTCTTCTCCCTCATCTTCCACATCTCATCCAAAGCAATCACCATGTTCTTCTGATATACAGCCTTACAAATATATCTTGTATCCACCCACTTGTCTCCAATTCTGTTACCAATATCCCGTCTAAAGCACCACCATTGTACACTGGAATGTTGCCTTAGCCTTCTGATATTGTTACCTCTTCCACTCTTTTCCCCTCCTACCCTTCTCCACACATAAACAGAGTGATGTTTTTAAACTACAGTGTACATTGGTTCTTAAGCTCCAGTTTGTATACAGTAAAATTCACCATTTTTACTGTAAGTTCTGTGAGTTTGGCAGACACAAGCAGTTGTATAACACCACCACACTTGATATAGAAGAGTTTCATCACCCCAAAAACTTCCCATTCCATTTTGTGGTCAATGCCGCCCCTTACCTAAAACTTATCACTGATCTGATTTCTGTTGTTATAGGTTTGCGTTTACCAGAATATTGTATAAATGGTCCATATAGTATGTGGTCTTTTGAGTCTGTCATCTTTTCATTAATATAATGCATTTGAGAATCATTTATTTATTTATTTTTTTATGTTATGTTATGTGTGTACCAGTAGTTTTTGTTTCTGTCTTTTTTTTTTTTTTTTTTTTTCCAATGGTTGTCTGTTATTTGGATGTATCACAGTTTGTTTGTCCATTCACAAAGTGGTATATTTATTGGTTGTTTCCAGTTTTTGGCAATAAAGACTAAAACTGCTATGAACATTTGTGGGCAGGTTTTTAAGTGAACATAAGGTTTTGCTTCTTTTAAGTAAATGCCTAGGAATGGCATTTTTGCATCATATGATGAAACTGCCAAATTATTTTCAAAGTGGAAATACCATTTTGCATTTATATCAGCAATGAGTGGAGGTTTCAGTTGCACTGCATCCCTGTCAGCACTTGGTATTATCAGTTTCTCACCATTCTAATGAGTGTAGTGATTATTCATTATGATTTTAATTTGCATTTTCCCTAGCATCTAATGATATTGAGCATTTTGTTTTATGTGTATCTTCTTAAGTGAAATGCCTCTTGAGATCTTTTGCCCATTTTTAAATTGGGTTATTTATTTTCTAATTAATGAATTTTGAGTGTTCTGTTTGTTTGTTTTCAGACAAGATCTTGCTCTGTTACCCAGGCTGGAGTGTGGTGACATGATTTCAGCTCACTATAGCCTCTGCCTTCTAGGCTCAAGCAGCACCCAACTTAGCCTCCTGAGTAGCTGGGACTACAGGCATGTGCCACCACATCCAGCTAATTTTTGTATTTTTTTGTAGAAATGGGGTTTTGCCATGTTGCTCAGGCTGGTCTCAAACTCCTGAACTCCGATTGTGCTTTAGTCTAGATACAAGTTCAGTGTCAGAGAGATACTTTCCAAACATTTTCTCTTATTTTGATGAAGGGCAAATCTATGTTTTCTTCTAGAAGTTTTATAGTTCTATATCTTACATTTAGATTTATGATCCATATTGAGTTAATTTTTTACATTGTATAAGGTATGGATTAAGGCTCTTTTTTTTAAATTGCATGGGATATTCAGTTCTTCCAGCACCAGCACCATTTGCTGAAAAAACTGTCCTGTCCTTTCTCTTTTGCATTCCCTTTAGACCTCTGCTGAAAATCAGCTGCCCACATGAGTGGGTCTATTTCTGGATTCTCTGTTGTGTTCTATTGGCCTATGTGTCTATCCCTTTACTGATACCATACTCTCTTGATTACTTTATAGTGAGTCTTGATTGAATCAGGTAGTATAGATTCTTCTACTTTGTTCTTCATTTTCAAAATTGTTTTAGTCAGAAAGTAATATTTTTATTATTATTATTGAGATGGAGTCTCACACTGTCGCCCAGGCTGGAGTACAGTGGCACAATTTCTGTTTACTGCAACCTCCACCTCCCAGGTTCAAGAGATTCTCCTGCCTCAGCCTCCTGAGTAGCTGAAAGTACAGGTGCCCACCACCACACCCAGCTAATTTTTTGTATTTTTAGTAGAGACAGGTTTCACCATGTTGGCCAGGCTGGTCTCGAACTCCTGACCTCATGATTCACCCGCCTCAGCCTCCCAAAGTGCTGGGATTACAGGTGTGAGCCACTGCATCCAGCCAGAAAGTAATATTTTAAAATACAACTCAGGTCACATTGTCCTTAGGATAAAGTTTAGAAATTTTAACTTGGCTTAAAAAATCCAACATGATTTATCCATTACATATCTCTATTCTTTCAGTTAACTTTAATTCACAAAATTCTTTCCAAGTTTCTGCTGCACCCCTTCCCCCCAACCACCAAACTCATTCTCATCCATCAGGTCTCAGTTTAAATGTCACTTCCTCAGAAGGTTTTGTTCAAATCTAAATTAGGTGCCCTTGTCATACTCTCTCATAGCACTTCCTATTTAGGGACAGGAAGAGTGTGTTTATGTTGCTATGTGTATTTTAATTTTTTGTGAAATATCTCAGGCCTACAAAAGTTTGACGAAAAATACAGTGAATATCTTTGCACCCACCACCCATATTGGTAAGTCATTACCAATTATTACCAGTCATTACCAATATGGTCAAAGACTCTTGTGTTCTCCCCTTCACTTTTGACAAACCAGAGGTAATCTCTGTTCTTAATGTGAGTTCAGTACTATTCATTCACAAAATAATATATAGCTTTTTATGTTTTTTAAACTTCATATGAATAGTATTATAATGTGTTTATTCTTCTGTAATTTGGTCTTTTTTTCACCATTGTGTTTGTGAGATTTGTTGCTAAAGAAAAAAAGTAATTCATGACATTTGTTACAGAATGGAAAGGTAGTCTTTATTCAGGGCCATCTTGATAGATATAGGGATGACTGCAAAGAAGTTTTGTAGGAAGGGAGAGATATGGGACTCAACTCTAAATTTAACATGGAAAACTAGAAATAAGTGAAGGAGCAGGGTGGGGGTCAGTGGATGGAAAATTACTAAGAGGAAACATCATGGGTATGAGGGCATTCTGGCTGAACAAACCTAACAGGATCCTTGCTGAGAGCAGGCCAGAGTGATCTGACATCACCTGGGGGATGGTGGAGAATGGGGAACCCAATCAGATATCAAGGGTGAGGGATTCTGGTTAAACTGACTTAGCAGGATTACTGTTAGCATTGAACAATGCAGAGATGAACACAGAAGCCCAAGAATTGGGACCTAGTTGGGAAGAGGATTCAGAAGAGCCTGACTGCAGTTCAGTCAAGGAGAGACTCTTTGTCATCATCCATACTGATAGTCCTACTTTTATTTTCACTGCTTCATGTACAACAATTTATTCATCTATTATTTGTCAATGCAAATTTAGGTTCATTCCAGTTTTTTGCTATTACAAATAACGGTTCTATGAATAGTCTTGCACTTGTCTGCTTGTGTATATGTTGAAAATCTGGCCGGGCATGGTGGCACATGGCTATAGTCCCAGCTACTCGGGAGGCTGAGATGGGAGGATCGCTTGAGCCCAGGACTCCTGGGCTGTAGTGCGCTATGCCAATCTGGTGTCCGTACTAAGTTCGGCATCAATGTGGTGACCTCCCGGGAGCGGGGGACCACCAGGTTGCCTAAGGAGGGGTGAACTGGCCCAGGTCAGAAACGGAGCAGGTCAAAACTCCCGTGCTGATCAGTAGTGGGATTGCGCCTGTGAATAGCCACTGTACTCCAGCCTCGGCAACATAGCGAGACCCCGTCTCTGGAAAAAAAAAAAAAAAAAAGGTAAAAGAAAGCCTGTAGAGAGTATATCTAGGAGCAAAATTACCAAAGGTGTTCCAGTAGCATAAAGGGGGTTCTGGTGT